CTGGTGGTGGTGGTGGGAGTAATAACGAGAGTCTCTCCTCTTCTTCTTTCTTCCTTCCTTCCTTCTGCTGTCTCTTCTCTCTCTCCTCTCCTCTCTGTTTGTGTGTCTCTCTCTCTCTCTCTCTTTTCGGGGGAGGGGAGGGGGGGTGTGGGGGGTCGGGGGAGGGAGGGATGGGATGGGAGAAAGAGAGAGGGAGTGGGAGAGAGGGAGGGAGGGAGGGAGGGATGGGGGGGTTGTGAGAGAGAGGGAGGAGGAGGGGGTGGGGGTGAATGAGAGTAAGAGTAAGAGGGGGTGAAAGGGAGGGAGGGAGAGGAGGGGGTGAGAGGGGGAGAGAGGGAGAGAGATGGGGGAGAGAGGGAGAGAGATGGGGGAGAGAGGGGGAGAGAGGAGGGAGAGAGAGATGGGGGTGAGAGGGGGAGAGAGAGAGAGAGAGGAGGGGGTGAGAGGGGGAGAGAGGAGGGGGTGAGAGGGGGAGAGAGAGAGAGGAGGGGGAGAGAGAGAGGAGGGGGTGAGAGGGGGATAGAGATGGGGGTGAGAGGGGGAGAGAGAGAGAGAGAGAGAGGGTGGGTGGGTGGGGGGGGGGGGGGAAGCTAGGCACCCACTGGGTGCTACACCAAATGCCAGCCCTCTCCCTCCCTCCCCCCCACCCCCCAGTCCGCAAGGAGCCTCGATTGCTTTCTGATCTGCAGTTATTTTCTTGGAAGGAGAGAAGAGGAGAAAGAGAGAGAGAAAGAGAGAGAGAAAAGGAAAGCAGATCAGCAGAGGCAGGAGCTTTAAAACGATTCCCCTTCTCTCTCTCTCTCTCTCTCTCTCTCCTTCTGTCTCTTTCTCTCCTCTCTCCTCCTTTCTCTCCTTCTCTCCTTCTGTCTCTCTTTCTCTGCTCTCTCTTTCTTTCTCTCCTTCTGTCTCTCTTTCTCTCCCCTCTGCTCTCTCTCTCTGCTTCTGTCTCTCTTTCTCTCCTCCCTCCTCTCTCTCTCTCTTAGCTGTAGTGTCACTCTCAAGACTTTTTCTTTTACAGCAAACGGGAGGGAGGAGGGAGGGAGGGAGAGGAAAGAGGGAGGGGGTGGGGGGAGAGAGAGAGGGAGGGGGTGGGGGGAGAGGGAGGGAGGGAGGGGGTTAAAAAAAAACCTTTAGGGGTGTTGTTAAGTCACAACTTGGACCCAAAGACGAGAGAGAGAGGGGGATAGAGAGAATGCGGTAGATAAAGAGGTGGAGGGGGAGAGGAGAAGGGGAAGGAAGAAGGGAAGAAGAGAAGAATCCCACTGTATTAACTCCACAAGTCACTGGGAACAAAATCTTTGGATGGAGATCATAAATGGGGTGGGGGTTGGGGAGGAAGGAAAGGAAGGGGCAGAGAGAGAGAGAGAGAGAGGGAAGGAGGGAGGGAGGGAGGGAAGGAGGAAAGGAAGGAGAGAGATAAGAAAGGGAGATAAGAGACAGAGACAGAGAGAGAGAAAAATAAAAACAACCATCAAATGCAAAACAAAAAGGTATCAGAAGAGATCAGTTAAATCCATCAAGTGGTTTGCAGGAGCAGCCAAACAAGGGGGTGGGTGGGGGGTAGTGGGTGGGTGGGTGGGGGGTAGTGGGTGGGTGGGGGTCTCTATCTGCTCTTGCGGGTGGGTTGCAAGCGATCAGATCCACACACAACAACAACAACAACAACACACACACACACGCAGTGAGCAATGGGTGATTTTCATCCAGGAAATCGTCTCCTTCCTTGGTGGATGCAAACAAAAATTGTGGACGTTTAAATACTATAGAGACACATACACAGAGAACACACACACACACACACACTCACTCACACAACACACACACACACACACACTCACTCACACAACACACTCACACAACACACACTCACACAACTCACACTCACACAGGAAGAGAGGGAGAGGACAGTTGTGGTGTTAGCCACTGATTGTCGGGTTTCTTTTGTTACTGTTTTTTTGGCAGCCAACAGAGAGGAGAGAGACACACATACACACACACACACACACACACAGAGAGACAAACACACACACACACACACAGAGACACACAGAGAGAGAGAGACACACAGAGAGAGAGAGAGAGAGACACACACAGACACACACAGAGACACACACACACACAGAGAGAGACAAACACACACACACACACAGAGACACACAGAGAGAGAGAGACACACAGAGAGAGAGAGAGAGAGACACACACACAGACACACACAGAGACACACACACACACACAGACAGTGACACACACACAGAGACACACAGAGAGAGACACAGAGAGAGAGAGAGACACACACAGAGAGACAGACACACACACACAGAGACACACAGAGAGAGAGACACACACACACAGAGACACACACACACAGAGAGAGACACACACAGAGAGACAGACACACACACAGACACACAGAGAGAGAGACACACACACACAGAGACACACACACACACACAGAGACAGACACACACAGAGACACACACACACACACAGAGACACACACACACAGAGAGACAGACACACACACACACACAGAGACACACAGAGAGAGAGACACACACACACACAGAGAGAGACACACAAGCTGCTCAGGCTGCTGTTGGTGTCTGCAGTAAATTTTCTACACCCTCTCTCTTGTTTCTCTGGTCTCTCTTTTCTCTTCTCTCTCTCTCTCTCTCTCTCTCTTTTCCCTCTCTCTCTCTCCCTCCCTCCCTCCCTGGGCTTTAATGCAGGAAATGCGCAAAAGACGTCAGTTAAGTCAGTGAAGTGCTCCCAGGCTCCAGAGGTGATCTGCAGAAGTACTGGATGTGCTGCTGTGACTGAGCAAAAGCAAAGCAGATCGACTGCAATAAAACCATCTAATGTTTTTTTTCCTCTCCCCTCCCTCTCCCCACCCCCCCCCCCCCCCCCACCCCAAAAAAAAATGCTGCGACAATTCAGTTGTGTCTGTGCTGTGCTCTTGGATCACTCAGTCACTGGTGGCCAATATATTCTCAGCAGCTATAATAATAATAATAATAATAATCCTTGCATTTGATATAGCGCTGTTCACGTCGGGAGGACGTCCCAAAGCGCTCCGCAGAACACACTGTAAAGTGAATTGACTGTATATTTGTGGGCGAACGCGGCAGCCAATTGCGCACAGCAATGTCCCACAAACAGTCGTGGATTGAAAATGACCAATTTATTATTGTTTTTGGTTTTGGAGGGATTATTATTAGGCTCTGTGTGGAGTAAGGAAACTTGCCCAAGGTTTCGCCCTCTGCCTGGAATTGAACTCAGGTCTCTCACTTGCAAAGCGAGTGCTCTAACCACTGAGCTACAGGACTCCACAGCTGTCTGTATCCTGTGCAATGCCGTGTGTACGTGGAAAAACACCGGGACACGTCCCATACACGCCGGGCGCCAGGGTTTAACGACCTGGTTTAACGTGCCGTCGCTTCGAAACACCCCCAGGCGCGCGCACAAAAAAATACAATACCTTCCCCCCCCACCTCCTCTCCCTCACCACCACCACCCACCCACCCGCCCACCGATCCGCGGTCGATTTTAGTCCCGGGTTTGGATTCGGCTTCCGCTCGCGGAAGGCGTCGTTTATTTTGGGGTCCGGCCGGGTGTCTGAACCCCCACCCCCACCCCCACTCCCACCCCGACCCCCACCCCGCCCAGAAACCCGTCACCCGTGTTTCGGAAGAGTGCCCAGACCGAGCTGAGATTTCCGGGCGTTGACCCCCCCCCCCCCCAACCCCCTCTCCCGCCTGCACGTGAGAAATCCCAGAGATGGGTTGTCGGAGTGGAATGCGCTCTCTCTCTCTCTCTCTCTCTCTCTGTCTGTCTCCTTGGAGGGATGCATCCTGCTCACCTAATTCCGGAAAGTATTAGGCGCAGGTTGGCAAGGAGACGCTGTTATTACTATGGCCGCGGGGGCCGCCTGAAAGACGATTTCAACTGTCGTCTTGTCCTTGCGTACTACAGAATGCGCTGAACATTTTGGGTTTCATGTCGCATTTGGCGACGAGGCATTATACGGGAGAGACGTGGGGGGGAAAAAACACACAAGAGTACCAAGGCTGGGGCAGGGATTTCAAATAAATTTGCAGTGTTGTTGACATTGTTGTTAAAATAACACCCAGATCTGTACTTTTCCACATTGGTGCCAAGATCCATCCCCAGTCCTCATAGGACAGGGAGAGCTGTCCTTTTTTTTTTGTGTGTGTGTGTGCGCGCACTATATTTTTTGTGGGAATTCCCATTCTCATTCATAGGAAGGAAGTAAATGCGTTGCAGAGGCGCATATTGAAAGATTACTGATTCATAAACGGCACAAATACTATTTGTTTCCATTGGTAAAAGTTTCAACAGCCATTCAGACAGGCAGAGTATTCAAACGAAAATGCATGAGCTGTACTGCTCTGGACATAATGTGGCACAGGATAATTCATTGAATAATAAATAATAATAATAATCTTTGTATTTGATATAGCGCTTTTCACGTCGGGAGGACGTCCCAAAGCGCTTCACAGAACACACTGTAAAGCGAATTGACTGTATATTTGAGGGCGAACGCGGCAGCCAATTGCGCACAGCAATGCCCCACAAACAGTCGTGGATTGAAAATGAATATATATTGTTTTCAACAAGTTCTCATTACTAATGTCCCCCCCCCCCACCCACCCCCCTTTTTAGGTTTTAGCCAACACCAGCAATAACATTAAACGGGTAACCCGTCTCAAGCATTCTATGCAACACTGATTTGTAAACATCTGGAAGAAAGCAAGTATCAAGAGTTCTGAGTTCTCACCCCTCAATACTCCTTCCCATTGGGTTTCCACATTTCATTCTTTCTCCCCCCCCCACTCCCCACCCCCCCCCACCCCCACGCCTAGATGAAATCAGTAAGTTATTGCAGTAATAATAATAATCCCTGCATTTGCTACAGCACGTTGAAAGGTTTCAAAGCGCCCCACAAGGAAATACTGCAAGATTGTACGTTTTGTAGGAAA